TCCTCCGGCTCGCCCCGGCGTCTCGTTGGCCCGCGGGGCTCCCCCCCCTCGGCTCTCCCCCTGCTCCGGAGGTCGGGCTGGGGCTGGTCCTGGTCCTGCTGGAGGAGGCGGAGGAGAGGCTGCGGGAGGAGCAGGTGCGCCGCCCTGCTCGTTGGGAGGTCACCTGAGCAGGAGGCCTGAGCGGGGCAGGGAGACAGGAGCTCTGGCAGCGGGGAGAAGGCAGGGCTGGGTGAGCGGTAGCCGGGAGAGGGGCAGAGGGCCCAAGCCCAGAGAGAGCAGGGTGTCAGCGGGTCGAGGCAGCGCAGAGGTCTGTAGCCCAGGAGGGGCACCTGTCAGCAGGGCCTGGATGCCCAAAGGTCTCTACTGGCCTAGGAGCAGGGCTGGGGTCTAGCAACTGCAGGTCAGGTCTGCAGCACTAAGCAGCCTGTAGCCCAGGAGGCACAAGGACTGGGAGTCCATGACTCAGGAGGCGCATGCGTCAGCACTTGAGGTGCACTGATATATTGGTTCCATATTGTATCGGCACTGATATAAGGAAAATTTACCTTATCAGCAATCGGCTTTTTTGGGCTGCTGTGGCCAATAAAAGCCTGTGTGGGCACAGCCACAGCACAGCACACGGGTGACCAGGAGCACAGCCCAGCAGCTTGGAGAGCAACGTCTGGCTGGTAAGTCTGTTGGGGAAGGGACGGGGGTGCAGATTGAGGCCTCTGCGGTGAGGGAGGGAGTGGGGCTGAGGGTGGGACAGGTGCTGCACAGCCAGGGTAGGGCACGCAATGTAGCCATGAGTGGCTAATGGGGGGGCAGCTCCTGCTGCTGCGTGTACCCTAGGAGGACATGTGGGGTGTATGCGCCTAGATCTGTGCGCAGGGTGAGGATGGGCTGGTGCTGCGGGCTGGGGCCGGGGCTGTGCCAGGCTGTTCCCAGGGTGGGGGAGGCTGCAGACAGAGCCAGCAGTGGCGGTGCTGTGAAGGGGCTATGCGGGGTAGGCTACAGCCACCTCAAAATTCATTATAGCCCTTGCTCCCAGCACTGCTGTTACCTGCCTTGAGCACAGCCCTGGCCTAGGCCCCCCACTGGGAAGAACCTGATGCAGCCTCAGCTCCAGCCCTCAGTGGCAGCCTGTGCTCAGCCTGCACGCAGATCTTGGGGGGGTACACGCGCCTCATGCCCTTCTGGGGTGTATATAGAGGCAGGAGCTGCCTCCCCCTCCCTGCGAACCGCAGCTCTGTCCCACCCTGGCTGGGCAGAGCCTGGCCCAGCCCTGCTCCCTCTCTCACTGCAGGGGCCTAGACCTGTATCGTCGTTGCCTCCCCCCGCCAGCACCATCCGTTCCCTACCCCCTTGCCCCTTCTACCACAACAGATTTACCAGCTGGACGCTGCTCTTGAAGCTGCTGGCCACATATCAGCAATCAGATCGGTGTTGGCCAATATGGCTCATTAAAAATTGGCCATCCGTATCATCCCAAGAAAGCTCTGTTGGTGCACCCCTAGTTAGCATGTTGCCTGTGCGGCATGGGAGTGGGTATTAGGGAAGATGCAGACCATGTAATTGCTTATGACCACAGGTGTCCATGGCCATTGCCTCAAGGAGCAAGACCAGGTTTGGGAAGCCTTGGGGCAGCCTCCCTTTTCTTCAGAGATAATAACATCAATGCCTGATGGGCAAGTGAAGGGGAGATTGTTCAAGACAAGCTACAGTTTGGCAAGGGCTGGCTGAGTGGACAGCAGGGGGCATCACAAAAACCCCTGGGTTGAGCACTTGTTACAGGCAGTTCTTGGCTAGAGGGTCTTGCCCCCTCTGCTCAGGGTTAGACCCATCACCATATTTGGGGTCAGGAAAGAATTTTACCCCATGGTCACGCTGGTAGTGACTGTTTGGGGGTTTTGTCTTTCTTTGTAGCAGGGATGTGGCCCTATACCTAGTAACTCTTGAGCCATAGAGCATATATAGGCAGCATTTCCTAGCAGCAGGACATTGGCTTTCGTTGTCCCCCTGCTTTGCCTGTGGCAGGTTAGGGGATTAGGTCTGTATTGTGTGAGGGTTGACAGCAGTTTTACATAGTTTAGGTTATGGTTTTTATGGGATGGTTTGGATAGGGATGATCCTGCCTCAGGCAGGGGGTTGGACTAGATGACCTCTGGAGATCCCTTCCAGCCCTACTTCTCTATGATTCTCCTACTCCTTCAGAATTCACCTGCAGTGGCTTTCTCTGTCTTACCCCATGCTATTTGCATTGCTCTCTGTCCCAAAACCTCAGTGGGAGCAGCCCCAGCCTGGGTGACACTGAGTAGCTACGACATATCCATCATGTGGTATCTGGGCACCCCACAAAGAAATACCTTCTAGCATCCTGATTTGCTGCGAGCATTGGAAGTGCACGTGCACACTGTGTGCAGACCAGCTAAAATCAGTTGGAAGAGTGAAATTTGTGCTTTGATGAGCATTTCAGCGGAATGGATGGGTGGGTGAGGCTGTTACAAAAAGGACAGTGATTCCTTTTGTGCTTCTGATATTCTGCCTGCTCTATAGTTTTTAAAGCATGTTGAGAAAACTCAGTTGCTTTAAGATGTCTCACATCTACATAGCAGCAGCCATTTTGTGGCCGTATTGTAGCATTTAACTCCTCCTAGAAATTTGGCTCTGTTTTGATTCTCTTAAACAGGGCTGCCCAAGTGCTAAGTGGCTGGGGGGCTGCATGTCCCACAGGCTGCACCAGCAGGCACCACCTGGATGCCCCCCGCTACACTATACACCCACACCTCCTGACTCTACTGTAGTGTGTGCCTGCACAGACATACCCCCCATGACTAGAATAACCCCATGTAGATGCTCCTTACACAATTGCAGTGCACACCTGTGTAGGTGCTCCCCTCTACCACTGCTGTGCCATACCTCCTCCTAGGGCCGGTGCAGAACACAGAAACTGGAGGATGGAGGGGAAGCCCAAGACTCGGGTTGCTGTTGCAGCCACAGGAATAGGGGAAGTGGTGGCTGAAAAGTAGTTTAGGGGGTGCTCCTTAACCTGTCATAGGCTACCTGTGGCCTGCAGGCCACCAGTTGGGCACCCCTGCTCTTAAACATGGTTCTGCTGAAGCTGGTTTCTTGTAGCATGGAAAATGTCACTACCAAATAGTTCTTTGGTAGTGATTTGCTGCAGGGTATAATTTCATTCAGACTAGGATTTATATATGAAGGTGTGGGGTAATGTTTTTCATTTCTAATGTTCAGGTTTTAAACATGAGGCATTCAAATAGTTCCATTAAATATCGACCAGAAGTTAGCCTTTCAGGTGCTATCCTGCCCTAACTGGCTAAGAAAGGCTTAAGACAGTGGTTCCTGGCCTTTTTAGACTTGAGGCACCCCTTAGAAAATGCCAGTGCTGGGGCAGGCGGGGGGTTAACTAAAGAAGAATTGCTTTATTATTGTTGTTGTGAAGAACTCAGAAAGACTAGCACAGGACTGAACGTTTTTAATGCTATGGATTTTTCTTTGAAATCTCTGGGTTTATCATGTGCATCACGTTTGGACGCCTACCAGTGCTAATGTTGTGTGGCAGCCTTGAACGGATCTCAAGGCACTCCAGGGTACTGTAGCACCCTGGTTGAGAATCACTGGCATACACTTTTGTGGGCGAAAGCCTACTTCAGCAGATACTTTATACCTTGCCTTGTTCTAATATTGTTTGATATAACAGTAATATATGCTTTCATGAAATAGGCTTTTGCCTCCAATAGCTTATGTATTTCTGAATGAGTTGGCCTTTGAAGTGCCACCGTGCCCTGCCTTCTGCCTGATTTCAGACTAGCATGGGTAACTAACTCTCTGTTAAATATCAAGTGACTGTATTTATCATAACAATGCTGCTCAGCAGGAGAAATGTCTTAATAAACAGGAAAAACAAATAGCCAAATCGGATAGAGGTCTTCCTCAGGCCCCTGGCAACCATCACACGCAGGACATGTTTAACTTACTAATCATGTGTTGAACAGTGTTCCCTCTAAGGAGTAGCGGTCCATGAGCGTGCCACTTTGGTCCAGTCTCCCCCTTTTGGTGTGGTCCACTGGTGAGTGTCCCTAAGGAGAGTGTAATTGTATTAACAGTGCTGCTGTTTCCCTGCCGTCAAATTTCCAGACCTTTAGGGAGCCTGCAGGCCAGGTGACCCGGCTCTGTGGCCTGGAGGTTGAGCACCATTGAATTAGGGTAAGACAAGAGCATAAGACAGGCACGTGAAATGTGGTCTGGAGCCAAATCGTCAATAGCTCTGCTCTCATTAAAAGTATCTCATCATTTAAAGTATTTGCTGATTCCATTTGTGTGTCATGGGTTTCCCTTCACTTTGAATGTCCAGCTTAATGCCATTAAGTGTGGATATCAGACTGGGGAGAGAGAAATCAGCTGATCACTTATGATTACTGAGTTTTTCATCTTGTTCACCTCTGTATTCTCGAACGGCATATATTTCTGGGAAAAAATATTGGTATCTTGTCAGTACATCCCCTTTGTTGAGCTCTTGTACCTCTGTGTTGAAGTTTAGACAACCACAGTATGTACACACACACACACACACACACACACAGATGGGGCTGGTGTGGGCTCCGGGGGACTGCTCTGCTCCCCAGCCCTGACACGGTGTGCCTCCTCCCTCCCCGAGGCGATGCGGGGGTGCGGAGCAGTTCACCGGAGCCTGTGCCAGCCCCAGTCCCACCTCGGGGAGGAGCCACTGTCTGCCCTGGAGTGAGGAGCTTACCTTCAGTAAGTGTTCCACACCGGCCCAGGTGCCTCCACTGCACTCTGCACGCAGCTTCTCTCTGGGCAGGTGCATGGCCTTAAAATTTTGTGCGCAGCAAGATTTTTACTTGTGCGCAGCCGTGTACGCACGCACCTTAGAGGGAACCTTAGTGTTAAATGGTACCCCAAGCCACATGTTCAGGCCATTAATGGTGCCACAAAATGTAAAACCAACCAGAAAATTATTCTACAAAATGTGTAGTAATTTTATGGTTGGTTTTCATTGTTCCATGAACTGAACTTATGGTATGGTCCCCCTACCATAAAGCCTGAGTTCACAGGGCATCCAGTTTTCAATTTTCCAGTGCAGAGGGAGCTTAGTATCCTGATTCTGATCCTAGACTCCCCCCGTACCAGCAAGTAGTAGTGATATGATTGGGATCTGATACCAATCCCAGAATTGTGCATCCAGCCTTTAAATGAATGTGTGCCAGGAGCTTCAAAGTGCTACCTCCTGTATTTCAATTTTGATTAGTCTAATACAAAGCCTCGGAGTCATGATCAAATTTATCCTTTCACAAAACTTAACTAATCCCTTTTCCTGTTGAAATACCGTAGAGCAGTGTTTCCAAATATTTGGCAGACCATTGCTGGCCTACAGATTGTTGCTGGCCCATGGAGCCTTGTTATCTGTCCAACAGGGCTCCCCCTGGGTCCAGAAAGTTGGACCAGTGAGCGGTGGCAGTGTTGCCCATTGCCAGTTGCCTAATGTAGAATTGTCTCTCTGTTCCCAGGAGGACTTTGTCATAAATGGTTAGGCCACAGACCCTTGTAAGGGCAGTGGGCAAGACTGTTATTTCTCTAATGTAAGTAGTACTTTGTATGAGTTCCTGTAAATAAAGTTTTCCACATCACAAGTCTCATCAAGATACTA